TCCAACATGATGTGTATAAGGAGATACTCCGTACGTCACTCGGGCGCCAGTCCTTTACTATCCTGGTTGTACAGAACCTCACGCAAGACCCCTACAGCACGTCCTCGTCGTGCGCCACGGATAATGTCTCAAATGAGCATTAACAGAGCTGTCAGGGGATCTCGGAGTTCGGCGGCCCCCAGAGGTGATGTGTCCTTGTGGCTCTCATCAGCCCGCCCCCAAACGCTTGGGTGAAAAATGTTATCAAAACTCATTAGGAACATGAGTAGGTTTGCCAAACGTACAGCCAAAATTACAACCCTTGGTTAAAAGACTGCGGAGTAAAGAGAACATTGTTCACTGCACATCCTCTGTTAACCCTCAGTGTCGTCGTCACCGCGCTGAGGTACACCACAACAGCAACCATCCATAGGCTGGCCATCCTTGTACATCCTCGGTTAACCCTCAGTGTCGTCGTCACCGCGCTGAGGTACACCACAACAGCAACCATCCATAGGCTGGCCATTCATGTACACCCTCGGTTAACCCTCAGTGTCGTCGTCACCGCGCTGAGGTACACCACAACAGCAACCATCCATCGGATGGCTAAGCCTAAATGTCCGACAAAACTAGATCATACGGATCAAAATCTGACCATCAAAATTTGTATTGAACTGAAAAAGACCGAATGTCCACACCCAAAGACCCCACTCGCCCGAGTGTTGGGACAAAACTGATAACGATATGCCTGATGCAGGATGTAAAATTCTGTCGGGCTAACGGCTCGTCAAAGAAATCTAACGTGCGAAGAAAACAGAATGTACCTATCTGTGTGGTCACAAAAGTCCAAAACCCACGGGCTGCTCCCCGCTGACTTCCAGAGGGCGCAGCCCCTGTCGAGCGGGAGGCCTGATACGGTTGTGAGGTCAAGCAGGCATGTGCAGGACGTGACGATTCCTTGGGTGAGCCCAGAACCAGAGCGCCATGTGCCGGCTCTGCATGCATGGAAGCCTCCTTGGATGGCGGGGAATGCCCATGATCTGCCCCTGCCTTCCCTTGAGGGCTAACTGTTCCACAGGGGGCTGCCCCAAAGGGGTACTCCGGGGGCAACACCTGCGGCGAAGGAGACAAAGTGGACACCACACAAGTCAGGCAACGTCTCGACCCACACAAAACAATGGCCACAGTCACCCTAGAAATAGGCCTGACGTCTTCCTTCGAAGTCGGAGTACAGCTGCCCATGAGGCAGGGAAATGAAAAACGGTTGTACACGCAAAAATCAGGTCCAGGTGAAAGCCAAAAGTCCAAGCGGACGATTAACCTGGACCTTCCACTGGAATTCACAGCCGGTGATCGATTAAAAAAAAAAAACCATAATGTCTACTCATCTGCCCACTTACTCATTTAAATACATATCCACCCACCCAACTACCTACTCTTCTACCTACCTATCATCTACCTAACTCCTCATTCAATACCTACATACTTATTATATATATATAAGTATATATATATATATATACCAATATATATAAAGGTAAAGATCCATTTTCACGGCTCTAGGCGCATCGGGCATATGGAAAGAGCACCCGTATTTCTTACAGCCCTTAAAGTAATGCACTGATGAATTTTTATCACAGATATTTTTTTCTCACCGGCATCTCCTATGAAACCTTGTTTGGTATTAAAAGAGTTAAGCAACCTGCCAAATGACAAGGGCAATCATGCCTTTCCACAACTCTCACCTTCTACATTTCACTTCTAGGATCTCTGTCATTCTCCATATCTATTTCCACTTTATCCTACTAACTTCTTCTTCGGTAGTACTGTTCTGCCTTCCACTTTCATTGTCAGGTTGTGAAGAGGCATGGAGTGCCAGCCTTGGTATGTGCTACACAGATGCTGGTCTATGCAGCCTCGGCTAATCCATCTACCTATCGCTTGCGTGGTAGACATCTGGAACTGCTTCCATTATATCTCAGTGACAGGGCTCTCTGTGGTGTACTGTCTGTTGGTAGTTCTGGCACATGTCCAGACTATTAGATCAGTTGTCTCTTGATGTCATTAAATACCTACAGGTTCTGTCCAAACTTGTTTCCTGACATAGTCATTTCTGCTCCCGTCTCTTCTAGTTACAGTTAGAATTCCTCCTACCACTTGTTAAAATGTCTCCTCCTACCACTTTTTAAAATGTCTTGTCCTACCACCTGTTAAAATATCTCGTCCCACCATTTGTTAAAATGTCTCATCCTACCACCTGTTAAAATGTCTCATCCTACCACTTGTTAAAATGTCTCGTCCTACCACCTGTTAAAATGTCTCATCCTACCACCTGTTAAAATGTCTCGTCCTACCACCTGTTAAAATGTCTCATCCTACCACCTGTTAAAATGTCTCGTCCTACCAACTGTTAAAATGTCTCATCCTACCACCTGTTAAAATGTCCCGTCCTACCACCTGCTAAAATGTCTCGTCCTACCACCTGCTAAAATGTCTTGTCCTACCACCTGCTAAAATGTCTCATCCTACCAACTGTTAAAATGTCTCATCCTACCACCTGTTAAAATGTCTCGTCCTACCACCTGCTAAAATGTCTTTCAGCTACCTTCTCACAACAGAAGAATATGGGTTAGATGTATTATGTATCAAAATGAAAATTAATTTCATTAACATAATTAAAAGGGAGTCGCTGTGGCGTAGTGCTAGACACTCACGCGTGGATCAGAAGGTCGTGGGTTCGCTCCCTGGCGTAGCCGGACTATTTTCAAAAATGACCTTGACTCCCAGGCCGACCCAGCCTTGAGTAAGTACCAGGTGCAGTCCCAGGAAGTAAAGGCGGCCAGCATGATGCTGACCACATCACATATCTTGTGCCGATTGGTCTATAAAAATACACGTCTAGCCCAATATACCTAAAGGCATGGAAAAGGGACCTTTACCTTTTTCTTTATATAATAATAAAAAATTAAAATACTGTAACCAAGTGATAACAAAAGCACTACTGTGAAACAGTGTAGCTAACTGCTTCTACAAAGAACTTTTATATTTTATAATAAATCAATATTTTCATTTATTAACAATAAAGCAACATAATAAATGCTTTGCTAGATTAAGACAAAAAACTGGTGTTGCGACAGGATACATGCTGAGAAAACCAGAGAATAATATAATTAGAATGAATTTTTAGTGGAACCCAAACAGGCATAAAAATAAAGGCACTCCAAAGAACTCAAGCAGAAGGAGCTTGTGGGTGAAACTACAAAGATGGGGAGGACATGGGAAAAGCTACATTTGATAGCAAAGGATAAAACGACTTGACTAGTTGGTTGGGGGGTTAAAGGGCAAAACAGGAACACAACAAATATATTCAATTGAAGAAATATATACAAAAAATACTTCAGTTAACAAATTATTTTAATGGTTCAAACAGAAAAGTGTAGAAATATTTTCAACAATGAAGGCGTATATTAATTCCAAGGGTAGACAGGTGTTCCTGGACTGTAAAAAAAGACCAAACACGTATATTCTGTTATCCGAAAGCATCAGAAATTTAGCTGCGAACACAGGAACTGTCAAAGAATATTGCATAAACTAGTAGAAGCACCTAAAGCAGCGGAATTAAAATCACAATATCATCATATTTTTTGTGTGTATAAGACATCTTTCCATGTATAAGATGACCCCCAATTTTTTTTTTTTTTTGGAGCTGAAAATTGAGAAATAAATATTGTCAACACATCCGTGCATAAGGCGACACCCTATTTTTTAACAACCTGTGACATACATCTCATGATGTAAAGTAACAGGAACAAGAAAATCTCATCATACAAAGTAGCAGGAACGAGAACACCTCATGATGTAAACAGGAGTAAGAACATCTCATGATGTAAAGTAATAAAAGAAATCTCAAGATGTATAGTAACAGCAACAAGAACATTTCATGATGTAAAGTAACAGGAATAAGAACATCCCATGGTGTAAACTAACAGGAACAAAAACATCTCATGATGTAAAGTAACAGAGATAAGAACATCTCATGATGTAAAGTAACAGCAATAAGGACATCTCATGATGTAAAGTAACAGAGATAAGAACATCTCATGATGTAAAGTAACAGCAATAAGAACATCTCATGATGTAAAGTAACAGAGATAAGAACATCTCATGATGTAAAGTAACAGCATTAAGAACATCTCATGATGTAAAGTAACAGTAATAAGAACATCTCAGGATGTAAAGTAATAAGATTAAGAACATCTCATGATGTAAAGTAGTTTGAACAGAAACAAAACAAAACTGGCTTTAAACATTGATCAATAATTTATCTTGCTGCATTCTACCGAGATGGCCAAACCAATTGATCTGCTGTTTCTCAAAGAATCTAGTACAAGGTGTAGTTTCCACAATTTGTCTGACAGTATCATTATTCACTCGATCTCGGATGATAAGGTTGGCTGCTTTTCTCAGGCAGTTCATCTCGAAGGTGGTGATTTTGCGTTTTATTTTACATCTTTATATATTTCAAAGAAAACATTTTTCAATGTAGCTAAGTTTTAGGGGGGTTTTTGTTTTTTAATTCTTAGTGACCTATGTAAAATGGTTGTTTATTTTAAGGTTTCGCCCGAGAATACAGACGGGTTCAAGACTTTTTTATTTTACCAATCACTGGGCAAAAGGGTTCATTCAGTAGGATATCAGAGAGGAAATCACATTTGTTTCCTTCTGTGAAGTCTGGTTAGATCCATTACAAATGTAATGCACAGCCTTTTTACAGCCAGTTTCAAGTGCATATCGGATAAATGAATGAAGCATGAGCATTTGTTCCCATATGAATGCATGTGACAGAAGATAGTTAGATACTTATTGTGACTTGCATCTCCTTTATGTGGTATCCATCAGGTTGTAAAAACATGTAAGTAGTAATGTGAAAACATCTTTCTTGTCGGCGAGGTTACGCTTCTACAGCCAACTGACAGCAGCATGGATACGGTCTCTCCCCCTCAGACCTAATCATCAAGTTCTCACAGCTTAGACTGTGTTGCTGCTTGAGACTTCAGGAAATCTACAAAAGGTTTTTGGTACTTTTGAAAACCTTCATGCACCTGAAAAAAAAAAAAAAAGATTTAACTCACTTTACTGAATTTGCAAGATCGTTGCCAGAAAACACTAAAATCGACATTAATGAGAAATGATCATAAAGTTATCAGACAAATTGTGGGATCGATGATACCTTGTACTAGATTCACTGAGAAACAGCAGATCAAGGGGTCTGGCCATCTCAGGGAAAAGCAGCAAAATCAAATACCATCACAGGCACTTCATCTCATCAAATCAGCTTCAAGACAAGAAGAGGAAGGCCACGAAAATATCAATCGACAACATTAAAGACACTTTAAAGGCCTTCACAGCATGACAACAGCCAATGGCAGCCAGCATGCACTGGATCACAAATTATTCCTCGCCATGACGCTTAACAGCTAAAATGGTTTAATATGATGATGATGATGATGACGACGATCATAAAGTAGATGATTAAGAGAAACCGTAAATAGCAGCTTTCAAGACCACACAGCATGCAAATCAACCTCTAGATATTTAGCTCAAAATTCTGAGTTAAGTATACCAACAATTCTTAGTTAAGTATATCACCAGTTCCGAGTTAATTATATCACCACTCATCATCAAGTGCCTTGCTAATCAGCGCTGGTGATAATGCCTCTTCACAATGTGCAATCTTCAACAGCAGGTGTTGACACCCCACCATAGCAGGATAAAAGGCCATCAAGCACCGCCTCGCTTTGTCTTACACTTGTCTTTCTTATACAGACCTTTCCAGTGGTCACAACGTGTTAAGTATATGCCAACTTTGCAAGTCAACCCTTAAAAATACAGTTAGCCAACAGTTGCCCAAAACTTTATGTGTCAGCTGTGGGACAAACAGGCAGATAGACTGACCGGTTCTGTGCAATTTGATGGTGAACTGATGTATGTAAAGCAAGATATTGTGAGGATCCTTTGGGAGCGAGTGAACATTGCGGAGGCAAAGATAGATCATTACGGTGTGAAGAGAATGGTGCTGCAAGGAGTTACCAGGGGATCTGGCCAGTGCTCAATACTCAAGGGAAAGGCGCATCAGATGTACATATCAAACAGTTTTTGGTATCATCGGAACTCTTCGCTTGCTGCTGAAGATGGGACCAGAGCACTTATGGGTATGTCCCTAGTGCTATGATGTTGATTATTAATTCAACATTCAACACTCAACAGTTTGTTGTCTGTGAGAATAATATATGGTAAGGCCCCAATCTCTTGGTACCACTGTCCGAAAACCATTAAAACATATGTGTGTGTTTTTTTTTTTTTTAGCTTCTGACCGCAGAAATCAAACCCTAGTACTGGAGGATCATCCAAAATAAAAATAAAAAACATCCTTTGCTGTCCCTCCAGTCTGTGATATGGAAACAAGTTGTATCACCAGCAGTCTATTGAAAGAGCAGGGATCAAATAAGGAAGGTCAACCTAAGACATGTCACACTAGGATTAGATGAAAAAAGGGATGAGGAAGAAACAAAAAATGTAATGGGAATAGAAGAAGGAGGAGGTGGGGTAGGAGAAGAAGAAGAAGAGGAGGTGAAAAAAGAAGAAAAAAGGAATCATTTCTTCTGGTCATAACAACTGCTTCCTACCTGAGTTTTGCAGGACGAGGAGAGAGAGGAAAAAGAAGAAGAGGAAGAAAAAGAAGTCCAAGGAGAATAGGAAGAAGAAGAAGGAGGTGGAGAAGTGGAGGAGAAAACAGAAGGGAAAAAAAAGGAATAATTTTCTCTGGTTATAACAACTGCTTCCTACCTGAGTTTTGTTCAGCTTGGAACGTGTGGCATACTCCATAAGTGCCTCATACACATTTCCATCATAACGCCCCAGATCACTGTCCAGAACTTGATCGGGGAAGTCAAAGGCATCCACTAAAGCCACAGCATTTGGTCTCAGAGCTGCCAGCAACTCATACAACTTGTTCTCCACAACCAGCAGCTGTTGGTCACTCAGGTAGCCTCCCTAAGAGTGGATTACATGAGCTTATTGATACAAGACATGGAAGTTTAGAAACTAGCTTATCAATACAAGACATGGAAGTTCAGTAACCAGCTTATTGATACAAGACATGGAAGTTCAGGAACCAGCTTATCATTATCCATACAAAACATGGAATTTAAGGAAAGAGCTTATCAATACAAGACATGGAAGTTCAGGAACGAGCTTATCAATACAAGACATGGACAATCAGGAAGAAGCTTATTACTACATGACATGAAAGTTCAGGAACCAGCTCATCAATACAAGACATGGAAGTTCAAGAACGAACTTATTCATACAAGATATGGAAGTTCAGGAAGGAGCTTATCAATACAAGACATGGTCGTTCAGAAAGGAGCTTATCAATACAGAACATGGTTGTTCAGGAAGAAGCTTATCAATACAAGACATGGTTGTTCAAAAGAAGCTTATCAATACAATACATGGAAGTTCAGGAAGGAGCATATCAATACAAGACATTAAAGTTCAGGAAGAAGCTTATCAACACAAGACATGGAAGTTCAGGAAGAAGCTTATCAATACAAGACATGGAAGTTCAGGAAGAAGCTTATCAATACAAGACATGGAAGTTCAGGAAGGAGCTTATCAATACAAGATATGGAAGTTCAGGAAGGAGCTTATCAATACAAGACATGGAAGTTCAGGAACCAGCTTATCAATACAAGACATGGAAGTTCAGGAAGGAGCTTATCAGTTAAGACATGGAAGTTCAGAAACCAGCTTAACAATACAAGACATGAAAGTTCAGGAACCAGCTTATCAATCCAAGACATGGAAGTTCAGGAACCAGCTTATCAGTCCAGGACATGGAAGTTCAGGATAATACAAGAAGGTACAAAATGGATAAAATATCTGTCCTTACCCACAGAGGACTGCAGGTTTTTAAAACAAATTTCAGTCTGGATGGTAGACCAACAAAGCAGACCCAGCTACCCTGTTCAACCTCCAAAGAAGTTATAATTAGGGCACCCAAATAACTACACCAGCCAAGTGCAGTTATGTCTTTCACAGCTTTCCTAATCCCTAAAACCAGGGCTTTTTTATAGACATAAAAGGTGCCGGTACTTATCGTAAAGTGTCTAAAAGGGTGCCAGTACTCCCCCAAATCTTTTTTTTTTAACAGCATCTTCTAAAAAATTAAGATTTTAATACTGTATACCGCCAGAAAAAAAGCTCTGCCTGTAACTGAATTTTGAATTATAGCATTCAGATAATGCTGCCATTGGGCGGTGAAGAGCTGTGTCTTTTATATACTCTAGTCCCACCATGTGGGTTCCAGGGCCACACATTCTTGGGTGGGAAGGGGGAGATCCACTATCCCCTAATAAGCATGTTGTAAAATTTGACTAATTATGTCAGTTTCCTTCTCAGTCGGAGTGTATCTGCAGGAACCAATAGTCTACAAATAAAAAAGCTAAAATGGACTGCATGCAAAACTGAAGTTCTAGAACAAGACCAAAGTCGATAAGTAGATGAACAACCAGAACTTTCCGCTAGAGTTTACACCCCATGAACGCTAAATGAAGAAGGAGATATACTCTAGCCAGAGGTATAAACTGAGAAAAGAAATGTGCAAAAGATGAACAAAAATTATATCAATAAAGAATGTATTCTCACCTTCAGGAACTGCCCAGAATTGCTGGCAATGCCTTGTAACGCGTACAGTTGACACAGCTGAACAAGGACTGCAGAAAGGGAGGGATCCAATCTTGCTGAGGTGACCTTTTCTATGAAGGCCCGTACTATAAATGCATGAGAGAAAGCCTGTGAAGAAATTATGATAATAATAAATTAAAAGAATTGATCACATATTCTACAATGTAACTACATTTCCTTCTTCTTTATTCATCCAATTTTTGTTTCGAAGTAATTGTGTTGCATCTGTTTTGGTCAACACATCTGACTTATTCTTTTGTATTTTGGTTTGAACTTCCTGAATAAGACCATATTAAAGTGTACTATAATGACAGCCAGATGTTTTGAAAGAGGTGAGTGCTTGAAAAAGACATTTTATCACAAACCAGAAAAAGACAGCCATCTTGTTTGTGTGTGTCATGTTATGAGAAGAAGGAAATTGGAACATGTGACCACTGGAAAGATTTGTAAAAAGAGAGACAGAGGAAGACAGCACGTGAAGGTTCTTGACAGCCTTTTGTCATGGCACAGAGAGGAATGTCAACACACGAACTGATACACGCAGTTGCGTAGAGTCATGATCGCCCACACCAGTCGGCAAGGCACTTGATGATGATGATAATAACTGCAGTATCTGTCAACCAGAAAAATCAAAAGTGAAAGAGGCAGAATGACAGAATTCTCCTATATATAACTAATGGAAGACTCAGCTTCCGTAAGTTAACCATCCTGATGAGATTTAGTAAATAAAATTTAACCACATCAAATGCTGATATTCATTCAAATTTAACCATATAAACTGCCACTACTGAATCAAATTCAACCACCATCATTTGCTGAGATTCTGATAATCAAATTGTGAATCAAATGTAAACATAACATTTTTCAAAACTCCACAGTTCAAAATCAACTATCCAAACCACTGGGATTCATTGATTTGTGATTAAGCATCCAAAGTGTCAAAATTCATCAAGTTAAAGTTAATCAAACAAGTTTCTATAACTCATCAAGTTCAAATTCTAGGACTCACCAAATTCAGACTAAATTCTATGTTAGTTAATCTTTCCTCTTGTGCCTAAGGCGGCGAATAGGGCAGAGGTCATAACTCTACATGTCTGGTGGCTCGTTACCACCTGATTAAGGTCTTGGATGTTCATTAGGCCCCTGAAATTGGTTCTACACAGAGTCTCTCTTGGTCTTCCTCGTTTTTTTCCCTTTCCGGTGGCCATATGAGGGCTTGATGTGGGGGGGGGGGGGGGGGGTCATTGCCCATGTAATTCCAGTGGCACTTTCTTATATAAAGTTTGATACATTGTCTTGCTTGGTCTTTTGTCTTATTAGAGTATTTTATCTGAAATCTGTCCAGTGGAGATTCAGTATTTTTCTAAGACATCTGTTCTCAAAATCTGTCTAATTTTTCATCAAGAGCTACTGTTGCTTTCCTGTTCTTGCATCCATAAGTTAGCACTGGAATCACACAAGAGTTGAAGATCTTAAGTTTTATGTGTTTGCTGAGTGTCTCTGTCTTCCAGATGTTTGACAGTTTGGAAAAGACACTAGATGCCAGTGCAATTCTAGATGATATTTCTGGCACTGAATCCCCTGTAGATGTCATCTTACTCCCTAGGTATGTAAAGCAGTCAACTTTTTCAAGAATGTGATTGTTTAGTTTTATGTCCTCTAAACTACTGGTAAGATCAATAATTTGTTTTTGCTGGGTTAATTTGGAGACTAATTTTGTCCTGAAATATTTTGGAGATGGTCTGTTTTCTCTTGGATATATGGGTGTGTTGAACTCAAAAGCACTATGTCATCAGCAAAGTCAAGGACTTATAACATTCTATGTGCAAGCAACCAAAGAAAGACACCAGGGGAATCAGCTACACTTACCACAACTGCCTCCACCAGTGACTGGGAGGATCTGTTCCAGGCTTCAGCTGCACCGACTCCTCTGCTCAGATGGCTCTGAAGTCTGGCGTTGGCTTCCTGAACTTGTCTGCAGTGTTCAATGCCAAGATAAAAATATTATGGGGAAAATGTTACAAGACAGTAAATTTTGTTTCGTCAAAATATTATTAACATCTGAGTCAACAGAGTAAGGATTTGACATCACAGCATTCAGGACAAGCCCGAATTAGCTCCGTCTCCCCCCTTCCTCAACAACCAACAATGATGGTACCCTTTACCATATGATTAACTAATAGTCTTGTCACCAACCCCCACACGTCGAGTCTTGAGTGGTGCCCAGAGCCTGCAGACACTTACTGCTGCATCATTCTCTCCAGGTAAAACTTTCCATCAACATAATATATTGGAACAGTTAAAGGAAAACAAAAAATAAATAAAGATGATAAATACAACTCAGCTTTTTTCTTTTTCTCTTTTTTAATAAACAATATCTTAAAGGCTGACTGCCTGATAATCTGACATTACCAGTTGAACGTTAAAATTGATGTAAAAGAGATCACTTCTAAAAATTAAAAAATGCACGTGATGCTGTGTGCTGAATGTTGAAACTGGGGCCCGTTTTTGGAGGGAAAAAGAACACATTTTTTTGACAAAACCTGTGGGTTGATTGATAAAACTGTGATATAAAAGAGCACTTGATAATATTTCAAGTTTCATAAGCAATTTGAAATTAAAATTTGGAGATCGCGTATCTTTCCTGCAGCAATGTATGGAAGTGAGTCATGGACTCTCACATTGTCTCTGACGAAAAAAACAGGAACTTTTGACCTGAAGTGCTATAGAAAAATTCTTAGAAAACTGTGGATTAAGGAGAAGAAAAAACATCAACATCCTGCATAACCTGAACATCAAGGAGAACTGGCTCATTAACAACATCCTGTCCCGAAAGCTGAGATATTTTGGCCATGTCAAGCGCCATGGTGGTCTAGAGAGATAGTGATGGAAGGTGCAGTTTTTGGAAAATGAGAGATGCCGACCTCCACAAAGGTGGATATAGAATACTGAAGATGCACTGGCTATGAAGGCTCACAAGTCTGGAGACTTTCAGGCGTACCATAAAGAAAGCAACATTTTGTAAATGACATGCTGTGTTTATGATTGTGGTTTGAATGTTAAAACTGAGGTAAAAAAAAAATATTTTTCAAAGTGATACAACTTGATGTTATGGAGTGAATAATGAAACTGAAGTAAAAGGGGTACACTTCACAATATTTAGGGTTATGGGCTCCATTATACAACTGAGCCAAAAGAAGATACTTCCAAAGATATGAAGTAAAGACTTCAATATTGTAACTCAACTGACCTGGCTGCTCTGTGTTCGTAAGCAGCAATAAGTTGGTCCAACTCCAGGTTCTCTGTCAACCTACTCTTCTCTCCCTTGGGTGCTTGCAGGAAGCGGGCTAAACTGGGCAGTTGCTCTCCCTTCTCTGCTGCATTGTAACTCTTGATGAGAAACCTGCAACAGATAACAATGTTTATGTTTATTCAACGGATCAACATCACGGCACACGGGTGTAACCCATAAGTGCTCCGTTCTTGTGGGCTTTGGTCTTGTTCCAGAACTTGAGATTTGAATGCATATCTGTTTTATGAATCTGGCTTATGTGTGTGCAGACTGTTAGTTCCTCACCTCTCTGTGGTGTGTGCGAGGCATCCGAAAGTACGTATTTGCCTTTTGTCTGTATCTATTTTAGTATTTGTTAAATCAACCAATGCGATTAGTTTACATACTAGCAGGGGGCGTTAAAGACAAACAATTCAAATTATTATTTAGATAATGAGTATTATGTCCAACATGATACCAAAGAAAACCAATAAAGAGGGAAAAAAAGAAAATCACAACAGAAATGAAGAAAGAGATTGTGGAAAAATACAAAAAAGGAGTCAAGTAAACTTATTTATGCAAGCAGTGCAACTTATCCAAGTCCATCATAGACACAATTCTCAAGAAAGCAGATTTTTATAAGGAATTGGATGTGGCCAAAGTAGAATCTATCCTGTTATCTCAAAGAAATCAAGTGATGAAAAAAAAATTGAAACTTTACTACTCATCTGGATTAATGACATTCAACTGAGAGCAGTGTATCTAACAATATGATCTGTTTAAAAGCTCAACCTATTTACAAAGATCTATCACAAAACTTGCCATCCATTACCTGCAGCAAAGACATTGCTGCAGAATTTAAAGCTAGTAAAGGTTTGAGATATTCAAGAACAGAACTAATTTCCATAGTGTTGTTAGACATGGAGAAGGAGCTAGTGCTGACAAAAAACCGCTGAAAAGTTCATGAAGGAATTTCAGACACTGGTGGAGTCAGAGGGTTACAGCCCAAAACAAGTTTTCAGCTGCAATAGAAACTGGGCTTTTCTGGTTAATCAACAAGCACGAAATGGCTTTGCTGGTGAAGGTAAAGTCAGGAGATGTGAACCAGAATCACTGCACATGATTTTAAACCATAATGGCTCTGCCACGCGTATGGACAGCTGATAAGAAACTGTCCACCTGTGTCGCCATCCCCATGAAATTCCCTAGCTACAGTGACGTTCCTCTATTTACCCCAGAGTGTTATCTATGGTACCCATTTCCTCGAGGCTGGGTGAAACCGCCCGGTTTCGAAACACTGGCCATGGGCTGCAACGTGTCGCAGCTGGATTTGAAGCAAGTTTCCTATTGACTGTGCTAACGCGGCCTCCAACTGAAACACAAGCTAAAGAAAGACAGACTAACTTTGCTCTTCTGTGCCAATGCCAGTGGTGAAAATCATAGTCTTTAAAGAACAGAAAGTTAACAAACTAAACTAACCTTTTTGTGGAAAAGTAACTGCAGACAGAACTGCAGACAGAGCCTGGTTAACCAGACAATTTTTCTGAACGGATTAAATAATTTTTCAGAAGATGTAATAGGAAATTTGGTTTCAAGATACAAACTTCTTGAGATACGAACCACAATCAAAAATGAATAGTCTTTTCTTTCTTTTTTTTTAATCAACTCATTAAAAAATCAAGAATTTATTTTATAATTGGACATTTAAAAAGTTTAAATAATGTGGTTACAATCAAAATACTGCACAATTTTTGCCTGGCATATTCTGCTGTGTCTTGTCATGCGTTATTACTAGAGAGTTACATCATCATATAATAAAGTACAAAAACTGAATTCATTCCAATGAAATATACAAATCACAAGGTTTCACTGGATACACAGTTCATCTAATCACTGGAAGATGGCCTGAATCTAATGCATTCTTTTTCTTCTTCGCGTTCAACAGCTGTAAACTCTGGCAGAAAGTTATGGTTGTTCGTCCACTTCTGGACTGCAGACCTGTGTATATGTTTTACAGATCTGACTCATTTGTATGGAGACTGCTGGTTCCTTGCCTCTCAGGCAGATGCACTCTGATTTCAAAGGAAGCTCCCAATTACTCGTCTCTTACAACATGCTTTTGGGTAGGCAGTGGGTCTATTCTTGTTTTCCCTATAATAGGGCCCCGGAACCCACACAGGGAAGAATCTAATACATTGTCTCATGTACTGTTTGCATCCACATCATTTAATTAAACTCACTATGGGAACAAAATTGTTTTGAATTTCTGAAAAGTTCTTTAAAAGTTCATGAACTATAACTGGTATATCCGGCTCTGAATTATAATGATTTACCTTGCAGTTTGGAGGCAAAGAACCACATTTTCCCCTTCGTATGTGCAGGCGGGAACCTCATTGGTGTAGATCTTTGGCAAGCCACTGGCTAATATGTAACCATGACCACCACATGCAAGGCGGCACTGCTCAATGCCATACATCATTTCCCAAGAGCTGAAAGCTTTTATGGCAGATGATAGTGCATGAAGCTGAAAAGGAAGGCATGACATAAGCAAACGCTTCTTTAAAAAACTTTGTTATAAACTGTCTGAATGAAAATAGTGTTTAAAGATATTAAACTTACGACCAGTTCAACTTATGAACTGTTAGTCAGAATGGAACACTGTCACAAGTTGAGAAGGTATATCTCCTATGTACTCCTGTGTATTTACTATACAGGAGTGTGGTCTATAGTTTGACTTATGACCTGTTAGTCTGAATGGAACACTTCACAAGTTGAGGAGGTATATCTCCTATATACTCCTGTGTATTTACTATACAGGAGTGTGGTCTATAGTTTGACTTATGACCTGTTAGTTAGAATGGAATACTGTGATAAGTTGAGGAGATATATCTCCTATATATTCCTGTGTATTTTACAGGAGTGTGGTCTATAGTTCAACTTATAACCTGTTAGTCAGAATGGAACACTGTCGTAAGTTGAGGAGCTATGTCTCCTATATACTCATGTGTATTATACAGGAGTTTGGTCTATAAAGACTCTTATAAGCTAGGATTGTTCAGCAGCTCAGTTAATTAACTCTTTTGGTATGTGCACTTGGTAATGAAAAAGTTAAAGACATTCAAAACATTAAAGTTCACACTTGGAACTGGAACCAGTCCTTGAGAAAGATTAATGAAAGAAGGCATAAGAAGAAACTGTGCAAAATGGGAAAATGACAAACATAGGTTTTAACTCTATCATGATCAATGACAACTAACTATTTTTACGTCAGGGATCATTGTGCAAAAATGGGCTAAGCGAAAGAAAGGAGCTTTAGACAGTTTTTAGCTGTGTGTGGCACAGATAGATCATTATGGTCTGAGAAGTTACAAGGGGATCTGGCTGATGCTCAACACTCAGGGGAAAGGCGAGACAGATATACAATCAGAGTTACTGGTACCATCTGAATTTTAACTCTTCGCTTGCTGCTAAAGATGGGGATGGAGCGCTTATGGGAGTGTCCTGAGTGCCAACGTGTTGGTGTGAATTGTAGATTCAGAAAATGACGCGATGTCTGTAGTGCAGTGTTGTGGTGCCCGTATGTGATTAAAATTGATCGTGTGGGCAACTGCTGATCTGTTGGCGACTTCTGCTACCATCAATGATGAACTGCAATTCTAATACTGTGATAAACATTCTGTGTGTTTTTCGTTGGCACAGGAGCGGAGCAAAGATGGGGTGACCCGTTTGCTATGAAGCTGAAACTAAGACTACCAGACCTGAGTGCTGTGATGTCGATTCTCTTCTTCTTCTTCTTCGCGTTCACCAGCTGTACACTCTGGCGGAAAGTTCTGGTTGCTCGTCCATTACTGAACTGGAGTCCTGCTCCAGAACCTGAGTGTTGCGTGTGCATCAGTTTTACAGATCTCATTCTCTTGAATACAGACTGTTGGTTCCTTGCCTCTGCGGCAGATGCACTCTTACTTCAAAGGAAGCTCCCCAATTAGTCGACTCTTATAACATGCTTTTGGGTAGGCAGCGGGTCTATTCTTGTTTTCCCCACAATGGGGCCCTAGAACCCACACGGGGGATGTTGATTCTTAATTCAACAATCAACAACAACATTCAAAATAGCTGTCAGCGTAAAATAAAGTTTTCCTCCATTTTACACATGTGAGTTATTTGTAAGCAGACTGCTGGTTCCTCACCTCTCAGACAGAAGCACTCCAACTTTAAAGGAGACACCCCTAATCAAGCGACTCTTACGACATGCTTGAAGGAGCAGTGGATCTATTCTGTGTTTCCTAGGGCCCTGTAACCCCATACAGGAAAGAAAAATGGCTCGATCACTAAATTAGTTTTAAAAAAACTTAGGTCAATCAACAAGGTTAGATTGAAAAACATAAATAGAAACTTACAACTGGCAAGTTATCGAAATCCCCAGATTCAATCTGCTTGGTAACACTGAGGTAAGCTTGTGTAGATACTTGTCCGGCCACAATTAAGGCATAAGCTGAAGCTACCAAGGTAAACAGTCTGTGTTGCTGGGTCTGGAAGTCAATCACCTGGACCTCCCCTGCCCTACAACAAGAACACAATAGAGAGAATATATGCATTTTTACAAAGCAATTATTTCTTTCCCCAGGATCTTAAATAAAAATCTTCTTCTTCTTCTTTGCGTTCACCAGCCGTAAACTCTGGTGAAAAGTTATGGTTGTTCATCCACTTCTGGACTGCAGTCCTGTTCCAGAACCTGAGTGTTAGTCGACTCTTATAACATGCTTTTTGGCAGGCAGTGGGTCTATTCTTGCTTTCCCTATAATAGGGCCCTGGAACCCACACAGGAGGAACAACATCATGGAGCAAATTCACCGAGAAACAGAAGATCAAATGGTTTGGTCATGTGGTAAGAATGCAGCCATATCAACTAAAAACACAGTGAACTTTAAATGACTTCATGTATACAGACGTACGGAACTACCCATGGCCATGCACCAGAATCTGGACTCATACTGGTCAAGACCTTTCTGAACCTCCCCCCGGTCATCCTAGAAACAAGTTCTTCAAGCCCACTTAGATAGGATCAACATTTCATTTAATCTGCACAAAGAAGACACAAACTGACTGCACAATTTATTGCCTGGCATGTTTTGCTGTACATTATTTTGCATATTAAAAAAAAAGGTAAAAGTAAAGGACCCTTCTCCACGCCTCTAGGTGTAGAGAGCATATTGGGTTAGACCTATATTTTATAGACCAATCGGCACAAGATGGTTGATGTGGTCAGCATCACACCGGCTGCCTCCTTCCCGGGACTGCACCCGGTACCCACTCAAGGCTGGGTCAACCTGGGAGCCAAGGTCATTTTTGAAAAAAGTCCGGCTCTGCCAGGGGGGCAAACCCACGACCTTCCGATCCGCGGCGAGCGTCTGGCTGCTCCGCCACGGCGACTCCCGGTGCATTCTATAGTAACAATTGAATAAAATTAAGCAAATAAGTGAATCCTTTACAGCAGAAGTACAAGTTTAAATACTGTCAAAAGCAATTGCATGTTTTACAAGGGCAGGCAATTTCCCGTGTGGGTTCCTGGGCCCCCTTGTGGGGAAAACAAGAATAGACCCCCTGCCTCCCAAACAAGCGTTCCGTAAGAGTTGACTAACTGGGGGCTTCCTTTGAAGTCAGAGTGCATCTACCTGAGAGGCAAGGAACTAACAATCTGCATACAATTAAGTCAGATCTGTTTAACAGATGTGCAAGCAACACTCAAGTGCCAGAATAAGACCAAACTAGAGATTTAGATGAACAACCACAACTTTCTGCCAGAGTCTGCAGTAAGTCGACATGAAGAAGAAGACAAAGTAAGAAGAAGCAGAAGAAGTGATTATAACCTGGCATAATATGTCATTAAAGCTGGCTTCTGGAAAATTGATACAATTCTACGACATACATCCATTTCAACTATAACCTGGCATAATATATCATTAAAGCTGGCTTCTGGAAAATTGACACAATTCTACGACATACATCCATTTCAACTCACCCTGCGCTAATCTCAGACTGCCTGCGAACAGCGCTGTATCTAACTGCTATAGTAACAGCCTTGGCCAAGGAACGTCCACAACCACCCACAATCTGAGATCGTATCAGAGTCATTGAACCGTACAGAAGGCGATCATTCTTTGGAGAGACAAATGTGCCGTCCTCCAGTACCTTGAAGAAATCAGTAAATGACTATTAAAGATACCTGCAAGTACACACAAATATTTTCTTTGATCAGTTCTTGCACCACTTTATATCAGAAGAGTTCCAGTGTGGGTTGCTGGGGCACCACACCGCTCTCTGTAGCATGTGACCAAAACAAGGTTTTTAAATGGTCAAAGTGAAGGAAAAAGTTAATTCTTCACATAGAAGTAAACCTTTTAGACAGTGACTGGAAATTGTTTAGCTGCACGGAGTCATCAAAGAAGCAGAGAACTTCATACCTGTCTGTCTTCTCAATGATCTAGGGGTTTGATCACTAGGATATACATAATAACTGACCAAGACTTCAAATTTCTTCTACTTTGTCTCTTCTACTAGTTTCTTTTGATAGTTTCAGTAGTTTTTTTTTTTTTTTTTTAAGGAAAACTTAACTTTTTAAAAAAGATTTTTATGGAGTTCAATGTTGAATGTTGAATTAAGAATCGTCATCATAGCACACAGGACACTCCCATAAGCTCTCCATCCCCATCTTCAGCAGCAAGCAAAGAGTTCCAATTTCAATGGTACCAGTAAATGTTTGATTGTATTTTCATCTCGCCTCTCCCTTGAGTGTTGAGCACCGACCAGATCCCTTAGTAACTCCCTGCAGCGCCAATCTCCTCAGATCATAATGATCTGTGCCTCCTCACTGTTCACTTGCTCCCAAAGGACCCTCACATGCATCAATTCCCCACTAAGTGGTACAGAACCGGCCAATCTATCTGCCCGCTCATTTCCAAACACATCGGCTTAACCTGGAGAAAATATCCAAAGATTGCTAACTACCCGGGACCTCTGAAGTGATGCTTGCCACTCTGCAAGGAGCATGCCTGTCTCCACCTTTCTCAACATGCTCTGTGAGTCAGTTACAATGACGGCATGTGTGTACAGCTGATTCTCAAGCCAGCGCAAGGCTGCAGTGACAGCCCCCATCTCGGTTCTCAAACTAAACGTTATGATTTCATAATCCAGTATGAACCCCCATGCAATTCATCTGCCCCACAACACAGAGATTTTTACAGAGAGAAAGAGTTAACAGTGAACGCAGAAGAAGACAATGTTAGAAAAGAGCAGTAATAATTTTAAAAGAGCCTTATAAAAAAAGGAGGGTGACAGTAACAATTAAATTTACTTGAAATTCTTTTGCTTTTCTCTTTCTTTTTTATGTCTCTTTTGCCTGCTTGGTCTTGACTGAGGCTCACCTTGTCTGACTTTTACTAAAAATATATCCCAAAAAATTTTTTTTTCCTTCATTGGATTCCGTGAATGGGACAGAAGAGAAATATTAGCAAAGTCCAGATCATCAAGCTATTTTGTAGGGGGTCCACTGTATTCCATTCCTGTTGTTAAAACAAAGTCATACACCAAGCTAAATTGTTCAGGTCTAAACAAGATGTTTACCAAGTTTACAAATACCGAAGTGGACATGTACTGAGGTACCACTGTATTAAAAACTACACAAAGAAAAAACTTAGCAGAAGAGACATTAAGAGTGAGTTAAGAATAGACAACATAATAAAGTTTTAGGTTCATGACAGTGAAACATTTTCAATTTTCGCTCACCTGAGAATATCTCATCAGCATGTTCTCCCTTGGAATCCTGATGTTATTGAACTTTAGAAACCCATTATCCATAGCCCCATACCCAAACTTCTGGCCAATGTCTCCAACACTCACTCCTGGAAAAGAAAGCAGGAAAAACAGTTTCAGAAAGACATTTAAACATCTACAGTAAAAATAATTTAACTCTTGCTGTCCAAAGTAAGTCTAAATGTGTTTTTCTCCATGTCCCAAACAGCAAGTTATTTGTCTTTACATTTAGGAATAAATGAATGAAAGTAAGTGAGGACTGATTTCTTTAGTATGTTTTGACCAAATATAAAACACACAATCACACACGGTAGGGTTGGATATGACATTTTACTGTACACATTTATGGATATGGAGGTCAGTCCCTTGATTGTCAGTTGGACTGCAAAAGAACAGATAGGGAATCCATACAATGAAAGACTAATTCAAAAGGGGGTGAGTAGAGGTTCCGTAAGATTTTCAACACTGAAGGGGAAACAGACTTTTAATCAGGTTGTAATCGGTAATATTAGCGTGTCAGCTCTTCGCTGGTTGCTGAACAAGGGGACGGAGCATACGTGGGAATGTCCTGAGTGCAGTGATGTCAATTCTTGATTCATTCACACATTCACACATGGTGCAACAAAAGGGAAACTATCTATCATACACAAAGTTTGTGACATAAGATAAATAACTTAAGACAACGGCTGCTATCTCACTATATACCAGCTCAATCTACGTAAGTATTGCTATTACGAGAAATAATGTTTTATATCCAGTACCGTATGTCTGAGCTTTACGTGAAGTAACCTACCTGGAAGAGGCTGATGTGTTTCCAGATCTCGTATTTGTACCAGGAATGGTTGCATCCCACAGTCTCGACCATTAGAGGTCAGCTTGGCCATCAGAACAACAAAGTTAGAGGTCTTGCCCACTGTAAGCATAAACATACTGTTAAATATCTTAATACATGCAAATTTATAGAAATTGTTTATACAACATAAGGAAACATAATAGATTTTTCTTCTTCTTCTTCTTCTTCTTCTTAGCATTTATCAACTATATATTCCTGTAGAAAGTTCTGGTTGTTCGTCCACTTCTGGACTTTAGTTTTGTTCCAGAACTTGAGTTTTGTGTATACATCAATGTTACAGATTTTGCTTATTTGCATTAAGACTGTTAGCTGGCTCTCATGGAGATGCCCTCCGACTTCAAAGGGAACCCCTAATAAGTTGACTTTTATCTTCTTCTTCTTCTTCACGTTCACCAGCTGTGAACTCTAGCGAAAAATTATGGTTGTTCGTCAAATTCTGGACTCCAGTCCTGTTCCAGAACCAGAGTGTTGCATGTGCATCTGCTTTACAGATCTGACTCATTTGTATGCAGACTGTTGGTTCCTTGCCTCTCAGGCAGATGTACTACGACTTTGAAGGAAGCTCCCAATTAGTTGGCTCTTATGAAATGCTTGTGGGTAGGCAGTGGGTCTATTCTTGTTTTTCCCACAAGTGAGCCCCGTAACCCACAGACTTGCTAGGGCCGGCAGTGGGTCTTTCTGTTTGTTCTTTCCCCAGAACCCTCATGGTGATAAATAAATGATTCAGTTTGTGGAAGACTTTTCTTGACACGGGCGGGTCTTGCTAGTTATACTCGCCATCGCCATGGGCTGTGAGTCTCATGCTTCCTCATAGTGCAATATAACACTATCGTCTAGAAAGACCGAAAGGTGCCAATGAATGAATGATGCCAATGAACAGTATTAATAGTTAACTGCGTGTCCTTTCCAGGATCTAGCAGAACCAAGCATAGCATTTTCTGGCTGTTTGTGATTTCACTAGGCAATTTTATTTTCAGTAGTTCGCCATTGCTCTCAATGCCATTGTTGAAACTAAAGCAAAGGGATCTGCTGCCAGATTAGCTGGGATCGAACCTGGCACTTTGGAGTTACGAAGTGCGTTAGCAACACCCAAGCCACAAACGCTGACATTCCATATTTGCATGCTGTTATAATCATCACTGTGTCAAGTTACTAATGCAGGATATATGATCATGGTTCACTATTTCACACGATCACCAGTCTGAGACTAAGTCTGTGTTCTTGTTCTGATTATTGCAAGCCATTTGGCGATTCCTATTTTTGTGTGTCATCATCTTTTTTGTTGCAGTAGTTTGCCAGTAGTCACTAATATCAGAAGTTCATTAACATACCCAACACAATCCTGGCTGTCTGAATGGGATTTCTCTGTTAGGTTAAGGGGCTGCATGGTTTTGAGGCAAAGTGTCCAAATCGAGTGCTAGAGGTTCCGGGTTCAATCCCCGGTAAGAGCTGGGATTTTTTCATCTGGACTTGGACTTCTATTAATTTCCCTTGATCTCTGGGTAGTGAGATCGGACACCCATGTGCACGTAAAAAAATCACTTGGCACCACACTTTTAACTCTTTCGGTCCCATGCTATGCCTGGTGAGTGAATATCTCTACCACTTGATTTAATTTCATAGTCTGGTGTACTCTGTTACTTTTTATGTTTAGTCAGAACACTTGAAAGATACCAAAGGTCACTATCACTGTAATTATTGCCACTTTGATGTAATTATTTCAAAAATTTTCATTATAGTTTTTTTTAAACTTCCTGCATCTCTTGTTAAACCTTTTGGTACCCAAGGAAAGAGTTAAGGGCAAGCAAAGAAGAAGAAGAAGAAGATAGGCCTTTATAGATGATTACTTCTGTACACATGGATTGACATGCTCTTTTTGAAAATCCTAATTACTCACACCCCCCAGGCCAGAATTTAGCTGATGTAACAGTGGGAGAGTTGATGATGAACTCTTTAGCTCTTGGATCATAGGTGGCGGTTGTTTCCAAGCCTCGCAGGAAAGTACCTACATTTTAGACAAAACAGGAATAACCTGTCAATACACTGCAAAGAAACGGACATCATCATCATCATCAGCATCATCATCATTATCAAGTGCTTTGCCGACTGGCATGGGCGACCATGCCTCTTCGCAATCTGTGATCAGCAACTGTGTATATTAGCCATGACAAAAGGCTGTCAAAAAATGTCCTCAAGTTGTCTTTCTCTGGTTCTAGTTCCAAAGATCTTTCCAGTGGTCACAATATGTTCCAGTTTCTCTCATCTTCAACATGAGTTGAGTTGAGGTGAGGTGACATCACAGCATTTAGGGCATTCCCATGTGTGCTCCGTCCTCATCTTCAGCAGTCAGTGCAGAGTTCCAGTACTGATGGTACCGGTCACAATCTGGATTTATGTCCATCTTGCCCTTCCTCTGAGTGTAGTGAGCCGGCCAGAATATCTTGCTATACCTAGGTGCCTCATTCTCTCCAGGCCATAATAATCTTGATTCTCTACTAATTCCGTTGCTTGTTCCCAAAAGGTCTTGACCACATGTGCCTCGTCATGCATCAATTCACCACCCAGCGGTGCAGATCCAGCCAATCTGTTTGCCTGTTTATTACCCACTATCCCGGCATGGCCTAAAGAAAAGATCTAAAGTATGATCACAACCCGTGACCTTTCCAGTGAAGCTTGCCACTCTGCTCAAAGCATTCATCTCTAACATGACCAAACAATAAAAACTGTCTCTTTTTGATGTTTGTGATAAGTTGCCTTCGAGCCTTTGCCTTTTTCAAAACATCTGAGCTGCTCTTTCTGTCTGTCCAAGGAATTCTAAGGATTCTTCTGTACATTATCCTAACAGTGTTACTATAGAGTTAAGCTGAGTTGATTCAAGAACTGACATCACAGCACTTGGGCATTCCCATAAGTGCTCCGTCCCCATTCTCAGCAGTCAGGGAAGAGTTCCGATACTAACAGTGCCAGTATCATTCTGATTAAAAGTGCGCCTTCCCTTTTCTCTGAGCCTCAAGCACCTGCTAGAACCTTCAGTCACTTCCTGATGCATCAATCTCGCCAGACTGTGGTGATCTATCTGCTCCTCCAAACTGTACATGCTCTCCCACAAGGCATTAATCACATCTGCCTTATCATGCATCAGTATTCCACCATGTTGTGCAGAGCCAGCCAGTCTGTCCGCCTAATCATTTCCAAACACACCAGCATATCACGGTGAAAAAAATTCCAGACAATACTCCTCACCCGTGTCCTCCACAGTGAAGCATGCCACTCTGCACGAAGCATGCCTGTCCTGACCTTCCTCAGCATGCTTTCTGAGTCAGTTAAAATCACGATGTGCTACTATAAATAACATCAAACTTATCAAACAGACCTAGGTATGTAATCAATTACCCTGGAAATTCAAGGAGAATATAATATCCCCAGATTCCTTATTTCTACATATTAAAAAACTAAGAAATATGTATTTACAGAGTATCTTCCTTTACAAAAATATAATCCAAATCATGATAATTCATCTCCAATATTGCCATTAAGTATCGTGGGGAGGAACAGTTCCCATTGAGCGCTCAACAGATAACACTAGCTATAGTCATCCCGCATTGTCAAAACAACCTCACTGTCATCAATCCATCTTTCCTTTTTGCTATCCTAAACATTTAATTAACTAATCTTCGTATTAAAGTCCATGCTGTGTGGCATTAGCAGTCATGTCACTCCACAACCTTTTGTCTCATGTATTTTTAATCAACTTTGATACAGATGATCCTCCATGCCATAATGTCAAACTGTTCAGCATTTTTTTTATCTCTGTCTGCCTCTGCCTTTCCTCCCATCCAACTTTATCACTGTCAAGATGTTCGACTTACCAATAATAAAATATTATATATGTTTCTTCTTCTTCGCGTTTACCAGCTGTAAACTCTGGCGGAAAGTTCTGCTTCTTTATTCACTTTTGGACTGTAGTCCTGTTCCAGAACCTGAGTGGTGTGTGTGCATCCATTTTACAGGTCTGACTCATTTATATGCAGACTGTTAGTTCCTTGCCTCTCAGGCAGATGCACTCTGACTTCGAAGGAACCTCCCAATTACAAATCTTACGACATGCCCCCATTATAAGGCCCCAGAACCCACATGGGGATATTATAATATGAACTATTAACAGTATAAAATAGTCAAATTATGACATTACATTTATATACAATTCTGATTTAGACATATATTTGTCAGTCCACTCCCTTACCATGACCCAACTCAGTCTGAGCGTATGTTCCAATGATACCAAATCTTTTAGCAACTGGTAGCCATTTTGCTCTCTGCTCATCGGTGCCTTGTTTGTCTATTGTTGGAATAAACATGCTTTCGTGGAGACCAAATGGGGATGGCTCGCTGGGAAACAGAACCCTGAAAACAGGCAACAGACAAATGTTAGCAGTCTTCTTATTCTTGTTCTTTTTCTTCTTGTTCACTGGCTGTAACCTCCTACGGAAAGGTTCTGGTTATTTATCCAATTCTGGTTTTGTTCCAGAACTTGAGATTTGTGTGCACATCCATTTTACAGATCCTACTTAATTTATGCAGACTATTGGTTCCTCGCCTCTCATGCAGATTCACTGCGACTTTAAAGAATTCACTCCTAACTAGGCAACTTTATTGTTTTTGGTGGGGGGAAGGGGAAAAGGGAGGGTTGGGGGGTGTTTGCTATTCTTTTTTTTTCTTCCAAACTGGTGCCCTATATAGCCCACACTGAAAGCAAAATCTAAAATTATATCTATTCCTTAGAAAGATTACAGTCTGCAACTCTGACAAAGTTGACTAGATGAATAAAACATGGACATGTAAAGGAAAACATTCTAAGGTTCTACCTGAAGACTAGAGTCAAGTGATTAAACCTCACTCCTTTATTCTAGACTCGTGACCTGCTCAGAACTTATTCTTTGGAAAACAATATGCTGGTTTCTTTTCCTTTCACTTGGATGGTTTAAGGGCTATTTATTACATACAGAGCTTATTCTGTCCTCAGAACTGCATTTGCCTCACACTTGTGTAATACTTGTCCTCTACCTCTGGGAGGCTCAGTTAACACCCATTGTGCCGAAACCATAATATTTATGTAACACTGGATTCATGATATGAGCAGTGATATGTTTTTTTTTCACATACTAATTAATAGGAACTGATGACAAATAGATATCATGACATTTTTCTTCTTCTCATTCGCATAAAATATTATAAAGTGAAACTTATCAGCAGTAGAAAAAAAGTCAAATTATGTTATTAAATTTATGTATGATTATGATTAAGACATATATTTATCAGTCTATTCCTTAACATAACCCAACTAAGTCTGAGTATATGTATAATGGGCCTGCTTGCCCAATTTGTGACTCTTTTAAAATAAGTTTGTTCATTCCTTTGTTTATTCACCAGTTGTAAACTTCAGCAAAAAATTCTCGTTGTTTGCTACTTCTGGGCACACCTGTTTACAGATCTGGTTTATCTGTATGCAGACTTGGTCCCTCGCCTCTCAGACAGATGAACTCCAACTCCAAAGGAATCACCTAATAAGTCTACTGTTATGACACGCTTGTTAGGGGCATGCATAAAATTAGCATTATATAGAATGTGTTAGAAACTTTCTTACTCTCGAAACAAATATAATTCAGTTGGATCTTTAAGCCCCAGTTCATTAATTCTACGAACGGTAAAAGTACACTTCCGCAAAGCTTCTTCATACTGCTCTTCTCTGCTGAGTTCAGCAGAGCGACGAAACTTCTGTTCTTTGAAGTCTTTAAGTGCCAAATTTTCTGTTGAAGAGAAAAAAAATTGAAGATTTCCATGATCATTTAACATTTTTTTAAAATAGCAAAAGCTTGTGTTATAATTTTCAGTCCCAAACAATGGAACACGCGTACTAGATAATACTCATGTGCACCAGTGTACATCTTAACTCTTTCAGGTAACGCATCATGTGCTTATTTGTTACGACCAGGTGGCCCAATCAACATGTGACAAGTGAAGGTTTTTAATCATCCAATGACCAGTAATAAAATGCAGACCGCTCAATTTCAACTTCCTTTCGTGTTCTTTGTGTCTCATTTAGAAACATGCTTTGAAAGCCGAAAATAAAGTATTTTTGTGAGGTTTACCAAGTTATTGTTTGTTTGAAAAGAATATGGCCGCCAAGCAGTATTTAGATGCATGCCAACATGATTTACGGCTTAAGAAGCCTCAAATTTAAATAAAGTATGTGTTGATTAGTTTTAATTCAAAGTTAGATAGATAATGTTGCGAATTAGGCAAGTTTCAGTCATTTATAGAATGAAACTGATGAGGGATATGTCTTGTGTGTACCTCACGTGAAGGGTACAACGATAGCAAAGTCAAATGGCATAAATAGAATAAACATTAGTGAAAAGACGAATTTCTTCAGCGTCAGTTAGTTCTAGTGTTATTCCCCTGATTACTTAGGAACATAGCTACAAAATTACAGGCAAATTGAGTGTTATATAAACTTTGTTTTGTGTGAAGATAAGTTTTCTTTACCAAAATAATGGTGCTCTGTTATGATGCTTAAAAGATTTTTCTATAACAAAATCTAATGTGTAGAATGAGTCTTATTCTTCTCACTCACCAGCTGTATACTACAGCGGAAAGTTTTGCATGTTAGTTCACTTCTGGACTTTAGTCTTGTTCCATAGTTTATGTTTTGTGTACATTCATTTTATAGATCTGGCATATCTGTACGCAGGTTTTTGGTTTCTTGCCTTTTAGGCAGATACACTTCGACTTTGAATAAAACAGCCTGTTTCTACTTTTACAACATGCTTGTTAGGAGAGCTGTGGGTCTATTCTCCCCACCCCCCTCCCACAACAGGGTCCTGGAACCCCCAATGGGGTAAGATGACCTTACAGATATTAATAATTAATCAACTGCATTTTAAAACTATTTCTTTTCTAATTTGGTCTGATTACAGGATGCTAAGGAAAAATAATTAGGTCACAGATTCTTCTTCTACAGTCAGCAAATAATTAACAATATACACTTTATAGCAGTCCTTCCAATTTGCTGGCTTGTGAATCCACAGGGACAATTTTAATGTTCTTTCCGGTTCTCTTGTATAGTTCACACAAGTGGAGAAAACTGCTCAGGAACAACAACTATTCCACATATTGCTTTAATACTGACTATATCAGTGAAAGGAAGAGAATGATATCTGTATAATTAGTGTGCTAAAGGAACAGTTAGCATCTACACCTTTTAAAATTTGCCATAGGAGATGGAGAATCTATGGGTATACCCAGTGTGCTATGATGTTGATTCTTAAATCAGTTAGTATAGTGTCTAGTATGCTTGCCTGGCGACCCAATGGTGATAGGTTCAAATTCTATAGGTAAATTTATAAAATTAACAATAGCTTCCACGTTGACCCAGAATACAATGAGTATGTGGAAAAATCCTGGGCTGATATGATACTTCTTCTTCTTCGCGTTCACCAGCTGTACACTCTGGCGGAAAGTTCTGGTTGCTCGTCTACTACTGAACTGCAGTCCTGCTCCAGAACCTGAGTGTTGCATGTGCATCAGTTTTACAGATCTCATTCTCTTGAATACAGACTGTTGGTTCCTTGCCTCTCCGGCAGATGCACTCCGACTTCAAAGGAAGCTCCCCAATTAGTCGACTCTTATGACATGCTTTTGGGGAGGCAGTGGGTCTATTCTTGTTTTCCCCACAATGGAGCCCCGGAACCCACACGGGGGTGATATGATACTGATAGCATCATCTATAGAGTGCTGACTAATCCATTTATAAATAGCATCATCACATGCCCAGAACACCTAAGGCCGGGCATGCAAACATGATCTTGGATCTCAGGAGGAGATTGGAGCACTTATGGTCATGTCAGATGTGTGATGAAGATGACCTTTTAAATGAACAAAGACTGTGATATTTATAAGTGGTTTACCTTCATATGTGATTAATTTTGGATATACTATATCAAGACTTTTTGCAGCAGCCTTAGGCCTTTTTAGGTAAGTGGACCCCACGTCCGCAAGAAGCGTAGCACACTGAATTGTGAATTTATCGTAAGTATAATAGTTTAAATATTTATATCGAAACTTACGTAAGAAACGCTTGCGTTTAGTCTTTTCAGGCCCATCATAAATAAAATGAGTGAGCAGCAATGGATCAAAAGTTGCCTGTGCTCTAACGCGAGCGAGATCAGAGTTCACAGTTGCCATTTGAACTCTTCTATAACTTCTAAAACTCAATGAAGCCCAGCAGACGAAGAGTCGGATAGCCAAAGTGTGTTTTCCTGGCGCTGGAGAGTGTTTAAAAACTAAAACATGTTACACTTCTTGTACCTCGTCCAAAGTTCGTTGTTATCTTCAGTTGGTAGGCTACGGGTATTTTAGCGGCTATATACCAGTATACTGTACACATTTGCCCGGACATGGTTCGTGTTTATATCCCTTGGGTGGAGATTGGTGTACGTGACTGTTAGGGAATTGGGCTGGAAAAGGTCGTTGCTTTATCCAAGAAGTAGTTACTCAAAGTAAAGTAAAGGACCCTTTTCCACGCCTTTAGGCCTATATGGCATATATGGCTAGACCTATATTTTTTATTGACCAATCGGCACTGGGTGGGTTATGAGGTCAGCATAACGCCGGCCACATTTACTTCCAAGAACTGTACCTGATACCCACTAAATGCTGGGTCAACCTGGGAGCCAAAGTAATTTTTTTTAAAAAGTCGGTTTCGTCAGAACCCGAACCTGCGGCTTTCGGATCCGCACGCAATCGTCTAGCTGTCATACCACGGCGGCTCTATCCACAAATTGCGGTTACTGAAAATACTAGTTGTGTGCTGGTTTACTATTCTACTTTGGCTACCTGTACAGTGAGTGTACATGTCTGGCGATACCTTTTTGACATGACGCTTTTGTGGTCTTTAGGTTGCCAATTCACCGTCGTCTCCTGAATCATCTCGTCCTGCTTCATGAGACCGTTGACAAGATCGGCCCGATCTATTCCCCCCCCCCCTATTCTTTCCTTAGCCCTACCGAAAAGCTAATCCGCTCTTATCTGGGTATCATCTTTGCGCCATTGGTGCTTCGGGTATATGATGCAAGCTCAAATTTGTGTAGATCTCAGTGGTGATGTGGTCAAAATCACGGTGGCCGCCTTTACTTCCCATGACATTACCTAATATCCGTTTTAATAATATATTTTAAATAATATGTTAAATGTTAAATCAAGAATCGACATCACAGCATTCGGGACACCCCATAAGCACTCTGTCCCTATCTTCAGCAGCAAGCGAAGATTGTTTAAATAATATGGAGAATGTGTAAATTTAGTTATTAGAGCGGCCACTTAATCATAACCTTCTAGAGAGGGTCATGACTTCACTACCCCGCAAATTGTATAGTTACTTAGCTCTGACATGTTTTAATATAAAACTAAATTAAATTATCGCTTCCAGAATGTGAGGAGCATTGAGCTGACCTCCTATTTGATAGACCAATCGACACTCGTTGATTAATAGTTATTAATACCAAGCCATAAGTCTAGATTTCCTGGTACACCTAATAGGTAGGCTTGGCTTGATTAACCTTGGTGGAGTGGGAGGACCTCAGATCCATTTTTAAAATCTGCATCAATTCCAGCTGAATTATTTTTAAAGCATAGAGCTGTTGATTGGTTTTGGAGGCTCATTTGGCGAAAAAAAATTGGGTGGGTGAATAAAAAAAAAAAAACGACGCCCCGCCCGTAAAAAAACATGTTCTACAGGGCGATGTTAGGTCTAAAGAAGCAGTTATCGTCTAGCTGTGAAGCACAAAACAAGCTATCAGCTGTCCTTTTAAGAGGTAACTCCTGCCAAACCATCATTTATTGATTAATCCACAAGTGGTTTAGTTTTTTTCTACCCCTATCCCATTTAGTTTTTAAATTCATCCATTCTATCCCCAGATCTAGCTTTAACGTATTCTGTTAACTCTATGATGTTTTAATTTCTTTGTATTTTTCAGCAGTGCATGTTTGGTGCCAAAAAAGATTGCATAGATGAGGTTTAAAAAATATAAATAAGGCACAGTTCAATCCTAAGAGATAGAAGTGGTCTAGGTATCCCAATAGTCTATTTTTTTCCAAAACAAACCCTCCTTAATATATCAGAGGCGTCAAATCAGCTGAACGAGAAGAAGCAAATTACTTTTTTTCTGATAGTGATAATAGATGCGATCTAACATGAAGTACTGGCTTACTGGTCCTCTAAGCTAAGAAAGAAGCAAATACGATAGTTAGTATCATTAGGGTTTATCGCTGTTTATTCCATCTGAAGTCACATGTAGTCGCAGGATTGATGTTTAATTTAAAATAAACCGCATTTAACAAAGAGCTTACTCAAGTATTGGGGGGGGGGGTAGGTGCTTCCTGGGGTGGGGGATCGCCACGTTAAACCAGCGTTTTCGAAAGGGGTGGGGGGCTTTAGGTTATGATTTTGACTAGTTTATATGCGCCATTTAAAATGGCTTGATATTGCACACAACGAAAAGCCATGAAAATGACTGCTGCAATGTTGATGCGATTAAAGGAGAAGACCCAAATACTGTCCTGGCCGGCGACGAAATCGTCTACCGGCAAGCCAGTGGGCGATCCGGTCGTCCCTGTTGTGTTCCGGCGTCCTTTGCCGGTATATTGTATAATTTCATTTCACCTTGTATTCTCAGAAACCTGGCACAATGAAAGCGGCTGTGTACTTGTTGCAGACAAGGCAAACTTGTAGTCGACTTTACGTTATTGTCAAACAGGTGAGCCTAGCTGTTGTTAGCTTCTTACAGGTTGAACTAGGTTTTTTTGCACTAATGTGTTTCTAGTATTTTAGGCACTTCTAAAAGAAAAAAATATTTAAAGTTATTTATAAACTTGATTCGACTGTTAAGTAATTTAACAGTGACAGTTCATTGTTTGTACTGCGCATAAAAATGGTTTAACGGCTCTGGTCTCGAATTTTCCTACCTCCTTAGTTTTCCAACAGTGGAAGCTAGAATAAGAATCTGTCGAGCACACGTCTACCTCCGAATCAGTGCTGACACACAACACCCACTACACAGAGAAATCAGGAAAAGAAAAGAAGCAGATTCAAGTTCAAAAGAGGAAAATCATGGATGGGTCAGGCCCAGGATTATACAAGAATTTTTGGCTCTCCTTTAAATACCGATCGCTAGCTGGAAAGCCGACGGTCGCTTAGTGGGAGTTCACTCCCTTGGCTGCATTGCAAATACGGAGCGGACAAGTCACGAATCAAAACAGACAGTGAGGTCGACATCAGGGCTGCCAATGCTTGTGTGTGTCCCCCAGATCTGGGTGTTTATTTGACTCCCCGGGGACATCTGGGTTGTTTTTTTAAGTAAATATATCCTTATATAATGATGCTATTAGTTGCCACGGATGTGACTCCTGCAGATCTGTATGCCGTAATGACCGATAAATTTGCGTGGTTAGGGTTAGGGTTAGATGTGACAATTTTGACGCAGGAGTTCCAACTAATCGCGCACAGTGCATACACACCCAAACAATTGAAGGACTGTGGATGCTACTCACACGGACAAATCACCATCAATTGGTCACCAGCCGCGCGCTATTGCCGTCATATTTAGGAGAACTCCAGTGGCGCCACTCCCACAAACATCAGAATGTCGGCCATTATGTGGAACTCCTGCGTCACAATTTTCACATCTAACCCTACCCTAAACCTAACCCAAACCCTAACTCTAACCCTATCCCTAACCCTACCCCTATCCCTAACCCTACCCCTAAACCTAACCCTAAACCCTACGCAACCGTATGATGATAGGTAAGTATGTCATTTGTTTGGTTCCCGCTTTACGGTCCGTATTTGCACTGCAACCAAGGAAGTGAACTTTCACTAAGTGAAGCTATTTCAGTCAAATTTTTAAAATGCCCTCTACACCAATAAAACCAGCACAGTTAGATAGCTCTTTCCAATGGTACATCATTTAGGCTTGTATGTTATTTCTGAGCTGAGATATGTAGGTTTTTGTGGAGATGAGATGTAAGAAACAGCCGCTAAAACTTGTGACCCAGAAACAAGAAGTTTTTTTCTGCGCAACCAAACTGCGCAGTTCTGTATCGGCTTTGTTGACATTGGACTGTCATTGGACAAGATGGCAGGCAGTGAGACTCAGCCACATGCGATTGCCTAAAAAATGTCACTGTAAATCTAAACAGCCAAAAACGGGAAAGAAATTTAATATGCAAATGTAAAATTGGACGGAGAATTCAATTATAACTAGCATAACCACATCTGGTAATGTTTAAGGCCTAAAGCCAACTTTAAATACTTACCGCTATTTTCAATCAAACTGATGTAACAGAAAAACAGAGGACCTCCGGCTGTCGTAGACATGCGCTGTTAATCGAGTTCCTTCCCGCCGTTTTCAGCTATTTAGAGTGGGTGAAAATCACGCCAATCGCAAAATTTCATGAGAGATTAGGACCCATCCTGAAACCCCAGCCGACATTTCCGAAGCAAGTTTCGAACGGTTTCCATGGTAACGGAAATTGCCAAAAGATTGCAAATTTCCGGACACCGTAGTCGCTACACTAAGCGACCGTCGGCTTTCCAGCTAGCGATCGTTATTTAAAGGAGAGCCGAATTTTTGTCCACTTGAGGACATAGAACTTGGAAAAGAATGGGTATCTGTTCCACCAGAGTGTCATACGACGTCCTTTAAAGTCTGCATTAAGCTGAACAAAGAATGCAGACAAAAAACGGTCCAAAATTATCGAGGCTAAGAAAATACCCTAACAGGGCCTCAGTCATATGTAAATTGGGCTATCTTCCGAATAACGGTCCCGAATTATCGAGGCCGAAAATATACTCTAACAGGGCCTCAGTCACCTGTCAATTGCGGACTTCCGGGGACTATACCGCCTTCGCTGAGAGTATCTCCCACGCCGCTATGCGCGGCATGGATTGGGGCTAAACTAGATGGCTGGGAGTCAAGAGCAAATAAAGTGAAGGAAGCTGCAGGAGATGCCGTAGCTGCTGCTCACGAGTCCCAGCCATCTAGTTTAGCCCCAATCCACGCCACGTGTAGCAGCGTGGGAGATACTCTCGGCGGTGGCTGTAGTTGCTGGAAGTGCGCAATTGATGCGTGACTGAGGCCCTGTTAGATTATATTTTCAGCCTCAATAATTTGGGACCATTATTAGGAAGATAGCCATAAATTGCACACCTCTTTCCGGCGACTATACCACCACCGCCAATAGTATCCCCCACCCCGCTACGCGCGGCGGGGGGACGAGGCAAAACTAGATGACTGGCACTCACGAGCAAATAAAATAGGGAAAGCTGCAGGAGATGCAGTAGCTGCTGCGGGGGAAACTCTCAGCGGTGACTTTAACTCGGCGGAAGCTTTTCCGCGGTATGCGGTATTGTCGCCGGAAAGAGGTCTGCCATTTACATATGACTGAGGCCCTGTTGGGGTATTTTCTTAGCCTCGATAATTTAAGACCGTTATTCGGAGGATAGCCAAGAATTCTTATGAGGGCTGTGTGATCATCTGTACAGTCATTCGAAATGTCAGGAGCTCATGGGCATTTACGACTCGGGGGAAGAACTGTCGGCACACTAATTATACAATGTCATTCTCTTCCTCTCACTGACTAACACAACATCCAAACGAACTTTCAGCTGTGCGGATTGTGTTTAAACATTACTAGGACTCCTCCTCCTCTTCTTCTTTTTCTTCTTCTTCTGCTTCTTCCTCCTCCTCTCCTCCTGTCTTTTTCTTTTTTCTTTTTTCTTTCTTTCTTTCTTTCTTTCTTTCTTTCTTTCTTTCTTTCTTTCTTTCTTTCTTTCTTTCTTTCTTTCTTTCTTTCTTTCTTTCTTTCTTTCTTTCTTTCTTGTCTCCTGAGCACATGGCAAAAGTATATAGAAAATATTGAAGTTTAAGCTTAGTTGAACTAGCATATGTTCTCCATATCTCCCACACATACATATGTATTCCCCCTCTGTACCTCACACACAAATGGATATTACTTCTCTGTATCTCATACATGTTATACATCTATATAACTCATACATATTACTCTTCTCCATGCCTCACACCATCAATATTTGAAGTACCAAAGTATGCATGTCAGAATTTGACACTTCATTGTTAATTAAACTACCACACAGAAACCTCACAAATTATCTTATCTTATATTCTGTTGCATTTTAATCTGATTATCAGGTAATTATACATTCTTTGGTTTTCATGCATGCTTAGTTAAAAAAATTCCATTGGTCATGGTCTAGTCTTCGTGTTAATGTTTATTTATCTGAGCTGAGCAGAGGCTGGGGAATGGGTGAAAGAAACCACCATTGGCTAATGTGAAGATTTGTAACATAACTCCATTTAGTCTTTGTTGAATTGGCTGCATCCTATAGCTGATATGTATGCATTAAAGATACCAGCTATGATATATAGAATATCCTTCTTCGATTCTTCTGTCAAAATACTTTAAATCAGGAGGCCAGTAGCCTTGATGAAAGCTTTCGCGCAGTCCAAATCTCACCGTATGCCAAACGGTTATGTTTTAATTGAGATTGACACATGTCAGATGGCCTCTCTGTTAGCAGCATGCAGTTTGTAGTGTTGGAGTACATGCTCAGCATTTATAGATGCCAAGTTGCAGGGACACATCTCTGTGTTTCCGATATGGAAAAACTTGAACATATGATTGCCAGAGTCTGTTGCGCCCTGTCTTTAGCCTGAATAGTATGGAATATCCAAGTAGCAGCATCTAGGTAGCACACACCTAAGCTTGTACCAGATGCCTCTTCAAATCCTGAGGCTGAAATTCAGAAAATGACTAGAGGAGAAGAAGAAGAGAACGAAGCTATGATCATTTTGTTCATTCGTTGTTGATTTCAGGATCATCTTCCTTTCATGCTAGGCATACCCACAAGTGCTTCAGTCTTTTCATAAGCATGTTTCTTAATGTGTTTGCACTGACCACTCTTGTCCTGTACTGGCTGATGAAATGACTGAGCAGATGCTTGGTTTTCATATTGTGCTGCTCCCGTTGATATATCTAGACTACATGTAGAGTCTGTATGAAATTCAGTATATGTATAAAGTCTTCAGCATGTGTTGTCTCTCATATAACATTTGTTAAGTCTCTTCTGCCCCTAAATGGTCCAGTTTCTAGTGCAGCATTGCCTGAAAGGGCATCACTTTCTGATTCTCTTTCATGCTGACATGACCTGGAACAAAAATATAGGTGACGGTACCGAACCTTGCTTTTGTAATGCTTGACACCAGTCTCTTTGCATGTTTCCAGCTGTGATCGTTTTTATCATATTGATGAAGTCACTCAGAAAACGTGTGTATATGAATTCTTGTCTCTTGTTGTTCTAGAGTCTTTGTTACGGCCTGAGCCTGAAGGTTTCCCTTCTCCTGATATGATCTAGTCATAGTCTGAATAGCAGTTAACACTGGCTAGCTAATCATTAGGCCCAGGTTGGTGATGTTTGCAAAATCTAAACTATGAGGAACTTGCTGAACAGGGTCAGTACATTTCACACACAAACAATGCTAAACTACTTGAAAGCTACCAAGTTTTAAGCCTTTGCTGGGGGACTGTATGAACTAAACCTGACCCAGTTAATTTTTTTTATCCCACCAGGAAAAACAAACATATTCTCAAAAGCTATAAATAGAACTCAAGGAAAAACCGCCCACCTTGTCTCATTCTGAGAAAATGCCCATTACACATAAAACATGTACAAACAGGTAGACTCTTGCAGTCCTCTTTCTTGTTTGCTTGAGTGTACAAAAAAGTAGTTTGTGAAGTGTTACTGGACTTGGAGTAGTGTTCTCTCAATAAATTTGTTTTTCGCTCTCAGCATAAGCCTGGTTGATTCTGTAAGTCTAGTTTTATTAATCTTATACTGTGTAGTTAAAGACAATTCCCTGTTTATTTTGCTTTACAAGAATTTTTTTTTTCAAAAGGTCATAATCTAGTCTGTGAATTTTCGCTGCTTTGATTTATTTGTATTGTTGATGGTATAGTTAAATATATTATCACAGGATATCTGAGCAATAAATTATACAAATTTGAAACCGCTGTGGAAAGAAGGAGCAGTAGTTTGAGGGTTTTATGGAAAAATCGACAAATAATTAGATGTCTGCCAGATAATCTAGTTGACAAGCTTTGAGAAAATTTTAGTAGATTAGACTTGTGCATGTTGCTTCTTTTGATACTCAATATGTTTTAAAGTGAATTAGGTGCTGTTCACGTTTCCAAGGCCAGGATAGAGTAACTTCCTGTGCCATTCATGCCTTCTTAGATTGCTTGACCTCTCCTATGTTGCAGGAGAGTCATGTTTTTCTTATTATGAATGGTGTAACCGTTGCCTCTTTTCTCCTTCTCTCACCCCTTACTTGCGTGATTATTTTCATGTTCTGCTACCTGAACTTGGGTGCAGATTAGTCCATAAAGGTAGACTAATTAAAAATGTTTCTTTCAATTTTGCCTAAGAGGCGAGGAACCGTCTGCTTACAAATAAACCAAGGTTTGTAAAATGGATGTGCACACAACACTAAAGTTCTGGAACGAGACCGAAGCCCCAAACTGGTTGAACAAAAAAAACTTTTCACTAGAGTTTACAGCCGGTGAACATGAAGAAGAAGAAGAAGACTTCACATGACATTTTCTGGTACCCGTTTTAAGCTAGGTCAACTTGAAAATCTCCTTCTTCTGTGTTCATGAGAAGATGTAATTGCGTTGTACAGATTTATAGCATAGTTGCGATATTTGCTTTTCGCGGCAGATACATCTGACTTCTGCAGGCATTTATTGACCGGGTTAGCCTTCCCGATAAAACCTGGGAATCTGACATCAATTATAAATAATTCACTCAAAAAAATGGATTAAAATATAGATGATAATTACTTATATATACACACACACACATACATGTGCGCGCATTTACACATTTACATACAAACAATGCATTAATTTTGCCCCAGCAAGAGAAAACATATTTTAAATATCTATAAACAGAACTCAAGGGAAAACCCACCACCTTGTCATAATTTGAAAATATGCCTGTTACACGTAACACGTGTACAAACAGGTAGATTCTTGCATTCCTCTTTCTTGTTTGTCTGCTTGAGTGTATACAACAGTAGGTTTTGTATGTGTGAGTGTGTGTGTATATATATTTATACTGATAAGTATTGATTTCTTACATAACTACTACTTGCAGAACAAGTGTGAAAACTTTTTGTATTGCAATTGATTGTGATTTTGCTGTAAAATATTCCACAGGCACACATCCTGTTTAAATATCAATATTTCTATAAAGTGAAATTCTACACCATTGTGAGATCAAACTTGAAGTTTCATATAACGAAACTTGTGCGCGTGAAGCACATTTTCAGTATATTGTTTGATTTCATCTTTAGCTAAGTACAATGGCATCCCTAAAACATGTCAGCTGTCCCAGTGGGAATAAGCTGGGAGACTGTCCAGCATTCATATATGGAGACCCAAGTAAAACGCCCAAAGCTCTCATTGTTTTACAGGTGAGTATCCATCCAGTGTGCTTTCATTCTGCCCCCTTGTATCTTGTTGAGGCATTTTTTGTGTCATAGGCAAAGGTAGGGTACCCAGGCAATTCCATTTACAAAAAAGATACAAAAAAATTACACAATTTTTAGTGCCTGGCAGATTTGCTCTGTCATGTCAGGGGCATACCGCAGAAACAGTATTAAATCCTATTTGCTTCTTATTCTTCTTTTTCTTCTTTACGTTCACCGGCTGTAAACTCCAGCAGAATGTTCTGGGTGTCTGTCCAGCTCTAGACTTAAGTCTGTTCCAGAACCTGAGTGTTGCTTTGCACAGCCGTTTCACACATCTGGCTTATTTCTATGCAGACACTTGGTTCCTTGCCTCTCAGATAGATGTACACCAACTTCAAAAGATACCCCCAATTAGTTGCTCCTATGACATGTTCGATGGGAAGGCAGTGGGTGTATTCTTGTTTTCCCACAATGGGAACCTAGAATCCACACACTTGTAACTCCATCTCGTCTACTTATGCACCTGATAAGGTAGAGCTCAGTATTCCAGGCTATAAATTGCCTAATTTGTGTCTTCTTTGTTTTGATGTTTTTTACTTTAAAAAAATGCAAATAAGACAAGTTAATGCAAGTGGGAAGTGTATTTGTATGGAAGAAAGCTGTATTGCCTGCTTTGCACAAACATAAGACAAACAGATAACAGACCACAGACAGAAGGAATTACTATCAAAATTAAGTTTTACACAAGTGATTAAACTATGAGTTTATTAAACATAATTGAGTTTATCATTTCTTTCTAAGTTGCCTCACCTGAAACTGGACCAAAGTGTCATGTGTTGGCTCTGAATTTATGGAAGTCTCCCTGTATGGCGGGGAATGCTCATGATCCCCCCCCCCCCCTCTCCCTCTTTTCCCTTGAGGGCTGACCAGGCCCTTGATCAGTTAGTTCTACAGGAGCAACACCTGTAGATAAAGAAACAGAGGACACCACACAACTAGGGCTGCATTATGTTACTCTGAATGCTAATATATTTGAAAGAGGCTATATTTATGCAGAGATTAGGACCCTTACAATAACCGCATACCATGTTCATGAAGATGGATACTCAGAAATGGGAAACTTTTATGTAGGAGCAAAAATAATGCAAACATTCCACATTAATGTTAACAGAGAACTTGTCAGTGGAGCTACTGGATTTATAACAGACAATAATAAATGGCCACACTTTCGCTGAGATAAAATGATTAACTGACTGTTTATTCTTATTAAGCCAGAGTCAATACAATTTCCTGCCTTCCATAGTTTTATCATGTGTGACAACAATACACAAGATGCAAGTGAGCACTGTAGATGATTATGTTGTAATCTACAAGGGAGCACTGTAGATGATTATGTTGTAATCTATCTAGGACCAGAACTCTTTGCAGAAGATAAGCATATGGTTCTCTTATCTAAGTAATAATCTTTGGAAGGGCTTGTAATGTTTCTGAAGAAATTTTTAAAACAGTTCCTAGTGACCTGTGTAAAGATGTATTTTAAATGATTTTTGGGGAATTCCCAGGTTCATTGTCACCACCCACCGCCATTCGGCCCTAAATCATCAAGCTCAAAGGCCTCACTGCCTGCATTAACAAAATGGTAATGAGCAAGCGGAACAACTGGCAAGCAAGGCACTAAAACAGGGTAAGAAGCATGGACAGATCAGGTTCCATCAACACTGTGCAAACTGGGCTAGTAGATAATGACGAATCTCTGACACAGACACGATTGTGTGACATGGGAATAAAGTATGGTGAAGCACGTCTGTGCCGCCTTCGAGGCCAAGATAGGAGACATTATAACCAACCTCTCATTGGAAAAATTAGTAGAAATACCTTGGAGTGGTTGCTGCATCAGAGGACTGAGCACACATGGGAATGCCCAGTGTGCAGTAACATTGATTGAGTAAAGAATTGACATCACAGCACTCAGGGCATTCCCATGCATGCTCCGTTTTCATCTTCAGCAGCCAGCGCAGAGTTCCAATGCTGATGCTACCGGTCACAATCTGGATATATGTCCATCTTGCCTTTTCTCTGAGTGTAGCAAGTCAGTCGATTGTGATAACATAACTTAGTGGTAAATATGGGCAGGATGGCTATTTTTAAATAACAGTTATGGCTCAGTTATAAAATGTCTTTGCTTACCCTTTATGTAGGAATGGTGGGGCGTCAACCAGCAGATCCAGGACTGTGCCAAAGATATTGCCGATAAAACCAAATTGGTGACACTGATACCTGACCTGTACCGAGGCAAGGTGGCAACCGATCATGAAACTGCTGGTCACTATATGGGTGATCTTGACTGGAAGGGTGCAGTGGAAGATATTCGGGGCTGTGCTAAGTAAGCTGCTAGTTATTATATACAGTACTTTCTTTTTGTCCGATTAAAAAATGTTTTATGTCACACAAGTATGTTTAATAACTGTGTATTAGTAATGTATGTTCAGTTGTAACTATTTGTAACCTAGTTATCACACTATAAATCAATCTTTACTGAATTTGCTCATTTTTAGCCCATGGGGGGGGGGGGGGGGGTAAATTGCCCCCTGACTAGCATGTCTTAAAAAGTAAGTAATCAGAGGTTTGTTGATATCAAATATATTGGGTCGAAAGGTTTAGATGTCGTAGTTCAGCTGTAAACCACAATTCAGATGTCCCAGCTGCCCTGGTAGGGGTGATTGCAGGAGAAGAACTGTTTCCACTGTTTCTTGAATGATTTGATGTATTGTATATCTTTTCTTCTTTTTACCCACTTAAGCCATGAATAGTACATATGTTCTATCCAACTTGCATTACGAGTCCTTTTCTTTGCCATTACATGCAGCTGGCTCATTACACTTCTCATATGATTCACCTAACTTTAATTCTCTTTTTCTGGGTGATTTCACCATACTTTTTTTGTGTGGGTGTGGCTCTGTCGGCTCCAGTACAGTGGCATTCTCTCCCCCCCCCCCCCCCCCCCCCCCAATTCACATAATAATTATTGTTTTTTTTTTTCAACTGTTGTGTTCATTGAAAGAAAAACATTTATTCAATATTATTAACTCGTTGAGTCCCAGACAATGTATTTCCTCTTGACTGCTGAATCCCCTCCTTAGCTTAATATGCTGTCTTACTTAGTGCATTTGTTCAGAACACACTCAAGAAATCTGGCTTGTCTAGTGGTCAGTACTACTGTTATATTACCACTTTCAAAGAATTCGTTGATGAATTTAAATCACGGTTATTTCATCATTGGCATCTCCTATGAAACCTTCTTCTGATACTGAAAGAATTAAATTATGTGCCCTCAGCACAGTGAAGGTCGGCTACAGTACACCTACTCCTGTTTTGGGGATATTATGTAGTGAGACCCAGATCTCTTCCATGGTGGGACTCTCGTACAGCTGCACCAAAACCAGGAGAATGATACCTTCAGCCTTGGAAATCAAAACCTAGTACTCATGAAATTGTTGTTGTTGTTATTAATCCAGCGGCACATGAGCTTTTGCCCTTTGGCCCATCATGAAATTGTTAAACACATTCACCGCTCAAAAATGTACTTCCAGTATTATAATTCTGTTTAAAGTGTATACTTTATGTAAATCACTAATCTGCCACAGATACTTGAAAAGCCAAGGTGTCAAGAAAGTGGGTGTTACAGGCTTCTGCATGGGGGGTGCTTTAGCCATGGCATCAGCAGCTTTGGTCTCAGAAATTGATGCGTCGGCACCATTCTATGGGGTGCCTTCTAGCCAGCTGGTTGACGTCACCAAGATTAATGTGCCACTTCAGTGCCATTTTGCAGAGAAAGATGATGTAAGTTTTTTTTTTCTATTTATATATATTATATATATTATATATTATATATATATATATATAAAACGGCCTCTCAGAAATAATACTGCAGGGCTCAGTAGAGGGAAAGAGGAGAAGAGACAGACAAAGAAAGACCTGGTTACAGAACTTAAGTGACTGGAACTGGCCTCATCCATTGCAAATGACCTCCAGAAATGGAGAGAGCTGATCAGTCAGCAGAAACTGGTGACCCAATGACACACAATGTTATGGGATGATGATGATATATAAGCATATTGTATTATACTTCACCATGTTGTTCATGTCGTTTGATATTTGATCTGTTTGATAATGAATATACAGTGGTACCTCGGTATACATCCTTAATCCATTCCATGTCCTTGAACTTATACTAGACAGGACATTTGCCAAATGCATTTTTCCATAAGAAATAAAGAGGGAATGATCAATCCTTTCCGTGGGGATGGGGGGGGGGGAATCTGATTTTCATCAACATATTATACGTTGATGGGGTTGTATATAATAATTCAAACACTGCTTAGTGCCAACAGTCTCTCTCTTTTTTTAAAAATACCTCTGTGATGATTCTAAACATTTTCTTCCTTGCTTGGCTCTTCTCGTTAACTTTCTTAGAACTCATGGTTAATGGATTTACTAAAAAAAAAAATGTATGCGTAAAATACAGAATCACATACAAATTCAGTGCAGATTGTTGCTTCATTGCCTCTCTGGTAGATGCACTCTGACTTTGAAGGAGGCTTTCAGTTGACTAATATCACATGCTTTTTTTTTCGGGGGGGGGGGGGGTGGACAGTGGGTCTGTTAATGTTTCCCCCACATTGGGGCTCTGGGGACCCACACAGAGATCGGAGGGATATAATGACTTTTAAAGTTGCTGAGGGAAATAAAAAGAGAAAGTGAAATATTTCGCCTACATTAAAAAAAATAAATAGCGCTCTTTTAGGGGAAGATTTGAATAAATCAGGAGGCAGACCACAGTACGTGGGATGATAATGTCAAGAGATGGACAAACAGCAGATTGTATACATCCAGAATGAAGGCAGCAAGTTGAAGATCCATTGTAGCCTGCTTCATTGTGGAGGTGACATCTGATGGATGATCACCTTGCGTAACACACGTAAAAGTCAAATAAAGGACCCTTTTCCAAGCCATTAGGCGTATTAGGCACACAGGGCTAGACCTAAATTTTATAGACCAGTTGACACTCGGTGGGTGATGTGGTCAACATTATGCCGGCCGCCTTTATTTCTCTGGACTATACCTGGTTCCCACTCAGGGCTGGGTTATCTGGGAGTCAAGGCCATTTCGACTAAAGTCAAGTTCAGTCAGGACCCGAACCCATGATCTTCCGATCCGCATGTGAGCATCTAGCCCTACACCACTATGGTTCCTGCATAACACATGACTGAAATTTTTTCTAATTATTAAAATAACTGATTTATTTTTTGCATATGGATTTGTCATTGATGCACCTTATTTCTCTTTCCCCTCTAACAGACAGTTGGGTTTGCATCTCCTGCAGAGTGGAAACCTTTGAAGGCCAAGCTTGAAGGGTCACTGAAACAGTTGGAATTTTATGTCTACGATGCAGGTCATGCCTTCACCAACAAATCAGGGCCCAATTATAATGAGGAGCTTCACAAACTAGCATTCTCTAGAATGTTTGCATTCTTTGAGAAACACTTGTCCTGAATGATTGACTGATGCACTTTATTGAATGGGATTTTATGAAGTTAATTGCTGCTTGTATGTGTACACATTTACAGTTTATTTAGATTGTACTAGCTTGCACTTTTTTCCAAAGTGAAAGAACCTTTCATAACCTGTCTTTTGTATGTGACTGCAGAGTCTGTTGCGTACTTGTACATTTTTTCATGTACTTTACCGTATCTTCTACTTCTGCATTCATCCGTGCATCGTGCCCGTTTACAATATGGCTGCGATATTTGCACTTTTCTGCCAACAAATCTGACTTCAGGTATTTGTTGCCCGGTTTGGCCTTCATGGTTGTTTGTACTTGGTCATAGGTCATATTATTGTAGATACAGCAAAACCTCAATAATACAAAGATGATCTTAAGATGATACCTTGGTTAATGTAAACACAATTTTGGTCCCAGCAAAGGATGATTAATTCATCATACATCTGTTAGTCCCAGGTGAATAGGGTACTTGAACATGAAATAACTACATGTGAAATGCCTGTCCGTTCTTTTTCCCACTAAAATTTGGCCCTGGAACCCACATGGGGGAACTACCACCCAATCCTAGACTTGTTCCCTCCCTCACACAAACATGGGATTTTTAAGGAAGGTACCTAAGTGTGTGTGTGACACTGCCTTGTTATCATGACAGAGAGTGCCTCAGGAAATCTGTCACCAGAAATAAGAGGCTGCCGCCTGAGCAGTGTTTCTATTTAGAGCTATCTTCAAGCCCAAAAATGGATATAACTTAGTAAACAGATGTTACACACTGGATGAAACTAGAGGCCATTTTTATGTTGGCATAACATCACTATATTCTCTAACACACTAGCATTTTTTTTTTTCTAGTGGTGTGTAATTTTCTACCTTCCATAGCTTCTTCCAAAAGTCTTAGGTACCTGATGGTACCGCATGGTACCTGATTTTTTTGTTTCAACCATGACCTTGGCTCCCAGGTCGGCCTAGCCTTAAATATATACCATGTAAGTCCTGGGAAGTAAAGTCAGCCAGCATGATGTTGACCACGTAATCATTCATTGGCCGATTGATTGATCTATATGAGTAGCCTTATGTGCCCGATGCTCTACTGGAGTGTAAAGGGACCGTTACTTTTACTTCTGCTTCTTCCAAGCAGTTATTACCCACTGATAAATGCTCTCTGCCCTTTATTGTTCACTTTTAGGGTGACCATATCATCTAGACAGTATCGTTTTAGGTAGGCCCAAACTGTCGAGTCGATACTAAAGAAAAAAAACTATGCATTGTCCAAACTGACACTGAGTATCAATGGGACTGTCCAGGTCCGCCTTAAAAAAAAAAATACAGTCCCTGCGAAATCTTAACTTATGGTTACCCTATTCATATTTGAATGTCAGTAATCAGTATGAACATATTCAGAAAGTTTTTTAAACTCCAAATAATTAGATAGTTACCTATTTCCACTTTGTTAATGTATCTTTTATTTCTGAATTCAGTTTTAAAAACTTCCAATAATTATTTAGTTCCATTTTATGCTTCAATAATGTCCCTTTTACTTCTGAACACTGTCAAAAATAATTTGCTAGTGAAAAATATGCTGTTATGTTTTTGAGAATTAGTTTATTTCAGAATATCAGTTAAATTATCAATAATAAAAGTGTTGTTTTTTGTGTGTTTCTTCCCCTACTCACTTTCACTTTAAATAGAATTTACCCTAAAGGATTGGGGCTCATTGTGTCATCTATTGTGACATCACCAGTCTGGTCAAAATATCATTGAACTCCATCATTCATACTCAGCCTTCTCTATGTTAATAATTCTATAACAGTTACAACCAGCAGTTAGTTTCAGATTGGGATAGCTCCCCCTGACCCCTTCTACAACTCAAGACAATCCCAATCAGCACAGATACCTCATGGCAAGCATATTAATTCCACCCCTGTGCTACCAGACATGGCCTCTCACAACAAACCTGAAAGGAAAATTAGAAACCATGGAAATGAGGGCCACAGGCGCAACATGGCCTGTTCCAACCACAATGAAGACAAAGCTGTATGCTACACAAGAGGATATGGCCGCACGATAGCTGTCATAAAGGCTACTGGCCTCCTGATAATGAGTTTTCTGACATAAGGATCGAAAAAGAAGATCAGAGAAAAAGTTGGTGGCACAGAACCAATTCTAAATTACATACAAAGACATCATATCAAATGGTTTGTCCACTTAGAGAGAATGCCTTGTGACATCATACCATACACAGCATAGAACAAAACAAACTAAATATGTTATAAACAAGAATATTCAGACACTATACATGCTTTCACTACAGTTTATTACAGAATTACTTTTCATAGATAAATAGAGAGATTGTCCTAATCAAAAATTCATTGCATGGAGACACTATCTTATTTCTTCATACACATTCAGATATCACCATGAATATATTTAAATAAGCAGCAGTCAATTTGAGGTTGTCATCAAGTGGAGTGGGTTTACAGCCAGAATGATAATCTCTGTTCTGCATAAGTTAAACACTCAGACAGCATGTGTTTAACTCTCAGTTTACCAATCCCAGTTGAGAACTGATCACCAACATTTACGACATTCCCAAAAGCACTCGATCACCATCTTCAGCAGTCAGTCAAAGGTTCTAATGTCAATGGTATAATGTTGATTATGTGTTCATTTAGCCTTTCCTCTGAGCGTAACATCTCCTAGATCCCCTGCTAGCTGCTACCTTCTCTCCAGATCCTAATATCTCCCCCCTTCAGCACTGTTCACTTGCTCCCAAAGGACCTTGACTGTATCTAGATTGTCATAGTGGTTGGAGTCTCTAAAGCGGTCTGGGCTGACACATATCAACTTCATATTTGTCCAGGGCATGCAGGCGTGCAAGGAAATGAGCAAGCTGATTGGCTTGCAGGTAAAGCCACTGTGGAGGGTGGATGAGCCATGGACCACGCTGATATTCTGTATGCTCAATAAGAAGAGAGACATTTGCGACAACAAAGTGATGACTGAATCTGCAACCATGACTAGACTGCAAGAACAACAGGTTAAAGGGGTGTGGCCAGACAAGAGCTCTATGCAGGAAGCCAAAGAAGAGTAAGAAACCAACACAGAACTGGTGTTTTGAGCCGCCACATACTGCAGGATTTACTAAGGAGGGATCCAAGCACTCATGGACTGAATGGTTTGATGTGCAATGAGGATAATCTGTTGACTAACTAACTAGCTTGTCATGCATCAATTCACTACCCAGTTAGGCAGTACCAGTTAATCTGTCTGCTTGTTTATTTCACAACACAGCTGCAGAACAAAGAAAACACACTCAAAATTCCACAGGACACTTCAATTCTTGCACTAATTTGGTAAAATGACATACAAAAGAATGTATGTTACGGAATCTTTTAAAAGGATTTCTTGTTACACAGAGAAAAGAAAAATCAGTGAACATTCACAGATATTTGTGTGCTGTGTGGAAGTTGTGCAGTTGACAGCAACACTGTTGACACTGTTAATAGGATTTATTTAATGCTAGAGAAGCTGAAGAGACAAACCTGAGTTTATTGTTCGCTCTGAAGGAATGAAGCTGATTAGAGAGTATAGCAGATGTCAGAGGAAATCCCTAATTAACAAAATTTATAGGTGAAAGAAAACGTAAATTTCCTACAAGTTGCTTATTTGTGAGACAAAAAGTGGAGACATTTATTTCTGAATTTCCACACGAATGTATCAAATTTCCTAAGCATTTTGTACACCACAGAAATCGAACACTAGCACTGAAATCTTTCAGTCCCATAGGAATGCATCATACGTTCATAGGTTTCTACCTATTTTATGTTTCTCTTGACTTCCCCTTGGGCCTCTGATGCTAAACCAACTGGGACTCAAAGAGTTAAAAATCCTGCAATTGTTAAGCTGATTCACTAAGCCAGGGCCTCACTTACATCATCTTAAGAAGTTTAGTTTTTTTTTTTTTCAAGTTTCTGGGAGCACTTTAAGAAAAAAAGTTGTGGCCTGATTGGAATTCCTGACAAAAATATCTCAAGAAAAAAAATCAATAATTAATAAATAAACAATGCATCTATGATTGTAACATTTTTCTCAAAATTTACAAAGATATGTAACAGGAGTAGTGTAAATAAATAAACATGAAACTGGGTCAAGCATTAAATCGAATACATTCCCTGGGATTATATATTATCAGGCGACTCATACCATAACCTCCAACACTGAGGCTTAAAACTTTTTAATATTAATCTGGCTTTAATAAAACCATTTAGTTTCAAGGGACCCCCCTCCCCTCAAGGGGGCCCCTCTTAACTGTTTTTAGTTGATGTATTCATACTGTGACCTTCTAAATATTTGCGGAGGTATGAGAAAAGCCATAGAATTACCTAAGTGCTCATAAACTGGTCACTATAAATGAGTTGGAAAAGTGCCATTTATGGGGGAACTGGACCCAACAGTAAGTGTCAGTTTTTCGGCTTTTCGAGACGAAAGGGACAAGTGTGTTCTCTTGTGTTTCTTAAGACTGTTGCTTTGACTAAACGTATACCCGCAAATATCACAGCCAAACGGCTTTTCTCCTGTATGTGTCCGTGAATGTGTTTTTAGATTCCACCGATGAGCAAATTCAGCATTGCATACATCACACTTGAACGGTTTCACCCCTGAATGAATTTTCATATGTGATTTCAAGTTCCAACTATGAAAACACTTGAAATCACACAGCTCACAGCAGTAAGATTTCTCCCCTGTATGCAATTTCTTGTGTGCTTTCAGACTGCTGGTGTAGGAGAAGACAACACCACAGATATCACACCAGTATGGTTTGTCTCCAGCGTGTAAGCTTTCGTGTCTGCCTAGAAGTCCCAGTTCCATAAACTCTAAACCACAAGTGCTACACTGATATGGCTTCTCTCTTGCATGATTTAATCTATGTTTACTAAGGTTCCCATTGTGTGAAAACTCCATATGACAAACATCACATGTAAAAGGTCTTTCT